TGCCATATATACCTCATTTTCCCTGTCTCTTAACTTCTCATATATGTGGGGCTCCCATACATATGGATGTATGTAACTTCCCATACATACTAGTATGTATGTATGTAACTCAAGTTGGTCATTTTCTGTTGTTGATCTGTCTCATGTAGATTTAATTATTAGACCAGCTGAAAGAACCTAGAAGGGTAGAGTGAAATTTCTTCTTTTCCCACAGGGCTCTGCCCGGGTATGTTATGCCTAAAGGAGGCAAAGAGGAAGAGAGAAGAGCCTCAGATACTCTTGGAGAGGATGGTGATGAAACCTGTCTGGAAGGGAAGCCAAAGCTCAAGCTCTTTGGTACATAATGTTCAGTAAATGTTTTACACACAAATAGTTTGCTGAGAAGTAGAGAATCAGAGGAAGGGACTAATAAGAGTATCAAAGAAAGGGGAGCAGCTAGCTATAGACGTGAATATTAGGGATCCTACTTTCCATTTCAGTCACATACAGGGTAGGGCAAAAGTAGATCTACAGTTGTATGTGAAACAGAGTTTATTCTTATATTACTAGAGACCCGGTGCACAAAATTCGTGCATGGGTGCAGTCCCTAGGCCTGGCCAGCGATCAAAGCGTGAGCATCTGGTGTGGAAGGGCAGGTCCCAACTGACCTCTGGGCCCTGGGCAGCACCTGGGCCCCTGCACTCCCCCCTTTGCCTGAGTCATCAGACCCCTGCCCTGCTCCCTCAACCCCTGGGAGCCAGGCAGCGGCCCCATCCCCCACCACTGGTCATCGTCTGCATGGCCCCACTTGCACCCACCATGGCCTGGCACCGCCCTGCTCACCTGCTCCACCATCCCGCCACGGTCCCATTCTTGTCGGGGCCCATCAGGGCTGGCAGCGCCTCCACTGCTGCCTACTGCCAGCGTCGAGTCGCCGATGCCCGCCATGTTTCATGCTGCCCCCTGGTGGTCAGCGCACATCATAGTGAGTGGTCCAATTCCTGGCCGAGGGGACAATTTGCATATTAGACTTTTATTATATAGGATTGACTAGAGGCTCAATGCACGAAATTTGTGCATGGGTAGGGTCCCCAGGTCTGTCCAGCCATCAGGGCCATTTGGGGCCTTCTGGCTACCAGCTGGGGCCTTCCTTCATTCCATGCCACCCCCTGGTGGTCAGCACACGTCATAGCGAGCGATCAAACTCCCAGTCTCCCAGTCGAACTCCCAAGAGGACACTTTGCGTATTAGCCTTTTATATATATAAATGACTGTATTACTTTCCATATAAACAACTGTAAGTCTACTTTTGTCCCACCCTGTATTTGTCTGGAGGCTTATACTGTATTTGCATGTCCTGTCTTCATTGCTGAGACAGACATAAAAGCCCACCCAAGGGGTTAAATGAGCACTTTGCTGACAGGCAGCATGCTCAGTCCCTAGTATTTGGGCTCTGGAATCTGCTCAGCTTGTTTAGGTGAAACATTAAAAAAAATCTGTGTTCCTCCAGTAACTGAATTTACAAAACAGAGTGGACAATTACTACCTTAATTTGTAGAAATAAACAGGGTATAAAAAGAAAGTGGGGGAAGTTTCGACCAAATATTCTACCACAAAGAGCATGATGGCATTATTTCTTGACCAACAACCTTAACTTACTCAGCTTTCATATACTAAAAACTTGGGTGGGGGGGTCGGGGGAAAGGTTTAGGGGTTTGGAAAAGGACCAAGGAGGCCTTTAAGATCAAAGCAATTTTAGGATAAAAGAGAACAATTACTAAAATTCAACCTCTGAGTTTTCAAAGGTTTGCCATAGGGCCAAATTACAACGGTAAGTTCTTTGGGTAAGATGCAGTTACCAAGTTGAACATTTATAGCCACTGCCATTTGAAGTTTTGAACCTCCATGCATTTGAAACTTGCCCAATACTATATGACTCTTGTATTTGTCTTGTACTGTTTCTAACTCTTGAAATACTGAACTTTTTAACACTGTATGTCTTACTCCCTCCAACTAAGACTGTAAGCTCTTGGAGAGAAATGCCTGTATTATGCCCCTCACCCCCATTCCTTACCAAGAGGGTCAACCTTGAACTCTTTCATTTTTTGGAACGCCCTTGGGATATGCATTCTGAAAATGGACACATGTTTTTAGTGAAAATCCAAATGGCCAAGAGCCCAGCCAGTGTAAACACATTCTTTCTACGTCCTCACTTTAATGACAAAAGATTGTTTAGATTTAGAGAAGAAAAAGAGTGGATTCATTTTACAGTGTGTTAAAGTATTGGAAACGAAGCCACTGAGAATTCTTTGGATTTTATGCGGTATCATGGTGCAAAGCCCAGGCCTCCCTGTTATCCTCAGAGCTGAACAACAGATTCCAGCTCCCCGCACCCCCACCCCCACCCCCACCCCACCGCAAGGGCACTTGAAGCTGACAGTTGTTTTGCATCAGGGTCCGCACCACCAGGCTACAAAACAAATGCAAACTCAGGGCTTTTCAGCGGACAGGCCCACAATGAGAGGAGTGGAGCCTCACGCAGAGGAGCAACCCCAGAAAGCAGTCAGATGCCCCCTTTCCAGCATTCCGCTTCTGAAGACAACCCCAAGTAACAGAAGCGCATTTGCACATGGACAGAACTGTAAGCCCGAGAGACGGACGGGCACATATGGACTGGGGACAGTCAGAGCCAGAGAGCTAGGGCACAAACCGCGCAGGGTGATGAGAGTACACCTGCGGTCAGGGTGTTGTGTGCGAGTGAGCATGTGGGCGTGTGACATCTGCTCCGGAACTGGTGGCCGCGCAGTCTGGCCTGGCAAGGCTTCCAGGTGGAAGAGAAGCAGGTGGCTCTGTTCCCGGAATGTGAATGAGGGAGCGGAGCCCGGGCTTAGAGAAGACAATGTTCCCTGGCGGGAACTCGTAATCTACGCCAAGGCTTGGACAGGGCATGAAACTCATGATCTAGCTTCCCGGCCCAAGCTTCGGACGGAGCCGGAAGCCCGCAGCGGGGACAGCCTGGATGGCCAGCAAACAGCGCCCCCGGGAAGCCGCGGTGTGGGCCCCGCCGCGTCCCCCAGCTAGAGCCGCGGCTCCAAGCTCCCGCCACTCTCCCGCGCAGCCGGCACTACATACCATTTAAAAATAACACCCACGTGCGCCGGTAAACAAGCGCGCGCGCTTGGCGGTGCCGCGCGCTCCGGGCGAGCCATTGCGGCGCGCGCCCGCCCTCCTCCCGCACGTGTCAGCCGACTCCGCCCGCGCCGTTCGGGCGCCGCTCAGGCTCCTCCCCCTCGGCTGGCCGCGTGCCGCCCCCCGAGCCCCGAGCGCCTGGGCTTCCCTGGCCCTGGGCCCCCCGTGTGATGCCAGGCGTGCTCCGCTGAGTGCTCTCCAACTTTCCTCCTCTGACGCTTGCGCTTCGCGTCGAGACCCATCGCCCCAGGTGTGCTCCTTCCCTCCCGTCCCCACTCCAGCCCTCTCACGTCCCCCACCGGTTAACTTTCCCTCCGCACGCGGAGGGCTGGCTTCTGGTTTCTCCCCTCCTACCTCCCACCACTCCTTAGAATTTTACTCGATTGTTTATTATTTGCTGGAGGGTGGGGGACGGAGGGGACGTCTGGGACCCGGAGAATGGTGGCCGCGGCCAGTCAGCGCGCGGCGTGGCTTGACGAGTAAGGGGCGCAGCGAATGGCTTCGCGGCGTGGAGCTCTGGGGTCACGCGCGTGTGGATACAATGACATCATCTGTTTGTACGCGTCGAACTAGCTTGGTGCAGGGGCGGGGCCGTACGTCACTTGAGTGACGGGCCCCGCGCAAAGCCCGGAGCCGGGAGTCGGGCGGGTGGGCGGGCTTCTGCGTAGGCTGGGTTGGGCTTTTTTGTGTGTGTGTGTACGGGGTGCTGCGGAGCCCGCTCTAGACACTTATCTCCAGTGGGAGGATTTAAGAAAAAAAAAAAATTAAGTTTTGGTGTGCAAGTAGCATGCAGTGCATTCTTAGTGCACAGATGAATGATTTCGGCACCAATCATTGGAAAAAGACTTGTAAAGAGGTCTTTTTTAAAAAAGTAAAAAATGTACAATTAGACGTTTGCAGTCATTTGCAAATTAGATTCAAATTATTTCCCATTCACAATTGTTCAAAATCTGCTCTTGCGTTTAGGAATGGGGCAATCATTTGCCTTTTTTTTTCTGAGTTAGTTACACTTCTTCCCTCGTTTGCCATGAAATCCATGAAAAGTGAAACACGATTGTGGTCCGGCGTCCTGGGTAAGAGATTCAGGGCAAACCTCTTGGTGCCGGATCAAATCTGAGGGCATCAGCTTATCGAAGTCCTGAAGGCTTGACCAACATCTTCACTTGTCAATATATCCACGCCGAGGTAACCCTTGCCATCTGCGATCGGCATCTTATCTCGGGTGTTACTTGGTGTCGGGTTCTCAATGGGAATCGGACACCAGGGCGTGCCCAGAGCCCAGCGGAGGACGCTCTGGACGGGGACCCTGGGCGCCAGGCGTCCTGCCCCGAGTCAAGGATACCAATCAGCGGCACTGGGAGAGCGTTTGGGGCTCTGCGCTCCCTCTACCTTCCTCTCCTGGGCCCGCACCGCGCTCTGTTGTCGTTGAGGCTCGGGGGCCGGGAGGAGGAGCCCCGCGGGGAAGGCTGCGGGAGCCCGCCGAGTCCTGGCCCGCGGCGCGCGCCGGGACACCCACGCCTGCGGCCCGGCGGAGCGGGGCCGAGCCGCGCAGGCGCGCACGCGAGCGCACAGACACACACGGACACCAGCACACCCGGGCTCGCCGCCCAGCCCTCCCCCTGGGCGGAGACCACCCACCCGCCCGCCGTCATCTTAGGTTGAGGCACCCTGCGTGTGTCTATAACTTTGTGCTGCCGCCGCGGCCGCCCTGCTCGTGGAAGGGAAGAGGAGGAATGTGGAAGGCGGCGGCGCGCCGGCTGACAGGCGGTTCCTCGGGCGGGCTGCGGTGGCGGCCGGAGCGCCTCTCCTTCGCCAAGGTTGCGCGACCCTCCTTCGCCGTGCCCCGGGCCCGCGCGGGATTGTGCGTCCTCTCCCCCCGTCCCTGAAGGGAAGGAACCGAGGTAGGCGCCGGAGCTGTGCAGCGGGGCGGCCGCCTTCCCGGTGACTCCGGATCTGCTTCCGAGCTGGGCCAGGCGCTTCCCTTTTCCCTCCCCGTGACTCGGTTTGCGCGCCCCTCTTCTCTCCCGCTAGTGTTTTTAAAGGACTTGAGCGAAGGGGGGAAAACTGTCAAGATGGCAGCAGCGGGAGCAAGGAGGTGATGAACGTGCTGGTCCGGGTTTTCTTGCGACCCGGGAGACTTGGCGCTTCCCGACCTGTTGGAAGATTTATGTTCTGACTTGCTTCCCCCCCCACCCCCCCCCCCGTCCTTTCTTGGGAAAGGGGTGGAGGGCAGAGCGTCCGTGAGAAAATAAACCACACAAACCCCAAAAGTAACCCTTTCTGCTAAGCTCGACCCTTGGCGAACACCCGCCGAGCTGCTTGCCCCCCCTTCTTCCCGTATTTTCTTTTTCGCTGGAAGTGACAAGGGCCCGTCTGCGCTCGGACCCGCGTTCGCCCTCGCGGCCCGCGGGCGAAGAGGGGAGAAGGGAGCTGCCCGCCCGGTCCCCGGCCTTGGGCCCGGCCCCCAAGAGGGGGTTGTCAGGGGGGCGCGGTGCTTGCAGGGCTGGGGGCGCGGAGAGGAGCCCTGCAAAGACGCCAGACTTTGGCCGCGGCGCCGCGGGGAGCACTTGAACGGGCCCGAGCGAAACATAAACAAACGCACGCCCGCCCGAGCTAGGGCTCGAGCGAGGCTGGGCTGCGCCGGCGCCCGTGCTGACCGCTTTAAAGGCGCGGCCCGCGCCCCTCCCCCGGCCCGCCCCTCCCCCTTCGTCCCCGCCCAGCACCTAGCCCCGGAGACCTGCAGATCTGGCGGCGGCGGGGGGAGGGTGCTCCCCAGTGCGAGCCCGTCGATTCGCCTGCGTCTCCCCCGCGGCCTGACCAGGGGGCGGTGTCTGCTGCGCCAGGTTCGGGACGCACGTCTCCAAGTCTGCCTGCTCCTGGAAGGCGGGCGCGGTGCGGTCGGGAAGCGGCGCGGCGGCGGAAGACTTGCCGAGGACTGGGCTCCAGACCGGGATAACCAACTCCCCTTTTTTCTCCACTCGTACTTCCCCAGGCGGCGGCAGTAGCGGCGGCGGCGCCCGGGAGTCCTAGCCTTCGCAGCGTCCCCGTCCCTCCCCCGTAGCACCCCGCCCGGGCAGAGCAGGGAGCGCGAGAGCCCGAGCCGCGGGGCGGGCGGCGAAGATGGCAGAGGCGCCGGCCTCCCCGGCCCCTCTCTCTCCGCTCGAAGTGGAGCTGGACCCGGAGTTCGAGCCGCAGAGCCGACCGCGCTCCTGTACGTGGCCCCTGCAGAGGCCGGAGCTCCAGGGAAGCCCGGCCAAACCCTCGGGGGAGGCGGCCGCTGATTCCATGATCCCCGAGGAGGAGGACGATGAAGACGACGAGGACGGCGGCGGTCGGGCCGGCTCGGCCATGGCGATCGGCGGCGGCGGGAGCAGCACGCTGGGAGCCGGGATGCTCCTTGAGGACTCGGCTCGGCTGCTGGCTCCCGGAGGGCAGGACCCGGGGTCTGGGCCAGCCCCCGCGGCGGGCGCGCTGAGCGGAGGGACGCAGACGCCGCTGCAGCCTCAGCAGCCACTGCCACCACCGCAGCCGGGGGCGGCTGGGGGCTCCGGGCAGCCGAGGAAATGCTCGTCGCGGCGGAACGCCTGGGGGAACCTGTCCTACGCCGACCTGATCACTCGCGCCATCCAGAGCTCCCCGGACCAACGGCTCACGCTGTCCCAGATCTACGAGTGGATGGTGCGCTGCGTGCCCTACTTCAATGATAAGGGCGACAGCAACAGCTCTGCGGGCTGGAAGGTGCGTACCTACCTCGGGCGGGTGGTGGGACTCGCCGGCCTCCTGCGCAGCGCCAGGCGTCCCTTCGCTTCGTGGAGCGCGCCTACCGGCGTTGGGGACTGGGGTTGGCAGAGAGCCTGGGCTGTGGGTCTTTGGGGAGTTTTGTGTGACCCCAAAGGAAGGGTACCCGAGGCGGCCGGGGGGGGGGCGGCGGGGGGGAAGGAGGCTCCCTGGGAAATGTCGGGCATGGTCAGGTTCTGAGAAGGGGCAAGGGACTTTGGAGAGAGAAGGACAGACGGACAAGAGTGCTTATGCTGTATTCCCGGACAGCGCGGAGCAGGTAGGTCCGAGGCCAACTTTGGAGTAGAATTCACCGTGGTGGGGGTGCGGCGAGGACGCTGCGGTTGGAGTGCGGGGACGTGGGATTGTGTTTGGGACTCGGTGCCTGGAGGAGGAGTTGGATTTGAGTTTTCCAGGAGCTTGGTGCGTTGTCACTAGCTGGGTGAGAACCCTAGGGTCCAAGTTTCGGGCTTGTGGGTGTTAACTTCCACAGGCATGAGGATATCACTAGAAAAACCAGTGGTTGCAAACATCTCCCTGGCGGGCTCTCTGTGAACACCTGTATTGCTCAGAGATGTCTTTTCAGTCAGCCTGCCCCCAGTAGCCTGAGATGTTCTGGGGTCTGGAAGAGGTCAGCTCTGCCATCTCAAGGCAGTGTGGCCGCACCTGCTGCTCCGGCCGCGGCCAGGACTCTGGCCTTGTTTGAGGTGGGGTCCAGGTGTGGAGGCCTGGAGGCCGGGTGCCTCACTGAGGCCTTTGGAAGGGAGGTTTGGTGGCAGGGCTGGGCTGTAATGGCTTCTGCCAATAAGTGAACCTGAAGAGAGGCTCTCTACTGTTCCTTTTCAGCCTCTTGGGGGCACTGGACACGTGGTAGGGAGAGAGGTGTGGAAAGGCCTATGATGTAATGACTTCCTGCAGTTGGGCACCGAGAGAGATTAGCTCCTGTGCCCTTGCTGATACCCAGCTGCTTTGCTCCTCCTGGCCCCTTCCCCCAAGATATGAATGTGTCAGTGCCAGGCAGAAGAGGCTCCTGCGCATTTGGAGATACTAATTGCTTATCAGTTGCTTCTATTTGCAATTAGTTGCTGCTTTTTTTTTTTTTTAAATTAAAGAGGTAGTTGCTTCCTCCTCCTGTCCCTTCCTTTATTGTCTTTGGGGAGCCCTGTATCTTCCTGGGTTTCAATAGGTGTATAAAATAACATGTAGTGGAGAATTGAAGCGTTGGAGAGGAGGCTGTATATGAAAAACTAAATAATTTAGTGTATTGAGTTTTAATTTGCTTAAAAATAAAATCCTTGTAAAGTTCCTTAAAAAAATTATGGCCAATATTGGAGTGGCCTTGTTTAGATTTAAACCTTTTTTAGATTAAACAAACTTTAAAAGCAAAATGTGTGCTTTGATATTATTCCACAAATCTGTTTCATTTCCTTTAACAAATGCTGACAGTATGAATGCTACATATGATTTAATTTTATTGCTTTGCAAAGGAGTGCCAGTTGTGTGATATGAGGGCTCTTTAGAGAAAGGCCGAGAGTTCTGTTTCACAGCCGTGCTAATGTGATACCTTTTAAAATTGAGTTTCCAAGTGGATAGCAAGGGTTAATCTCAGTCTACAGTATCAGGAAGGGGTGAGTTTACTGGATTTAAGAAGATAGATTTGGGATTTTGGAGTATTTTTCAAATTTCTCACATTCATTCTTGGAATTTAGTCCTGCATTTTTTGAATTTGGTGCATAGATACTGTTAATTGCAAGTTAGCTAACTTTCAACTTAGTTAACATAGGGAGGGTTTTCAGCTTTCCTATGATTTTTACCATTAAGAAGTAATTTCATGCTATTGTGCTTATAGGTAAAATTAACAGTTTGATAACATTGGATTTAAAAAAATAATTATGTGAGAAAGTGGTATTATCAAAAGTAACTGAATTGCTAATTATATTTTTATTATAACTTGCACAATTTGCAGTAGAGATTTTGGGCCTAGTCATAAACTTGGTGGTTTTATGTCCTAAGCCATTTTTGGTCTCATAGTTCCTTTTTTCTTTCTCTGCTATCTTATTTCTCTTTAACCAAAATTTTATGAAATATTGTAAATTGAAACTCTCAAGCCTTAATATGTTTCATACAGGGCACACATTTTATGATTATTTTTACTGTAAATGGTTACATCAGTTCCACTTCTGAGTATTATGTGATAACTAATTCTTGAAGACTATAGGGATATCATTTAAAGAGTTTTTGTAAGATGACCTTTATCAAAAGATGCAGCCATGCAAAAACTTCCAAATCTTTGATGATGGTGAAGGCCCTTTGAGACTGGGGCTGGTTTCATATTCTGATTATGACTACTAGCCAACCCTATTGTGCTTGTGGTTTAGTGGGGGCAGAAGACGAGGGAAAAGGGAGAGGTCAGGAGCTGATTGTGACCCATATTCATGGGTCCAAGTTTCAGGAGTTGAATCCTATCATGATTAGTCATTTTGGAAGCATCTGTGTGCATTTAAACCACATTACTTTCATTCTGAGTTATGTATTTGAGTTTTTAACCCCTAAAAATGTCTAGAATTCAGGTTAATGTCTCCTAGACATGTGTGTACATAGGCACAGTATGCAGGGTCCAGGCCTTACTTCTTTTGTGGCTTTTTAGGCCATTGCATTATGAGAGCCTATAACCAGAATTATGACCCTAAGGTCATAGAATGAAAGAGGCTTTGGAGATCAGAATCGAATCAGTGGTTTGAAGCCCTGGTTGCATGTTAGAATCACCTGAGAACCTTTAAAAACTATCGCTACCCAGAGAACCTGATTTAATTGTGCTGGTGGGTGGATTAGTGTTTATTGTTTAGGGAGGGGAGGGAGGTTTGAAATTTCTCAGGTGATTCTAATATACAGCCAGGATGAGGTTTGTTGATCTAGTTCAGTGGTCGGCAAACTCATTAGTCAACAGAGCCAAATATCAACAGTGCAACGATTGAAATTTCTTTTGAGAGCCAAATTTTTTAAACTTAAACTATATAGGTAGGTACATTGTTATTAACTTAATTAGGGTACTCCTAAGGCTTAGGAAGAGCCATACTCAAGGGGCCAAAGAGCCGCATGTGGCTCGAGAGCCGCAGTTTGCCAACCACGGATCTAGTTCAACCCTTTATTTAATAGGTGAAGAACCTGATTCTTGAAGTTAATGACTTTTCTAAGATCACACAGCTAGTTAGTACAGAGGTAATTAGTAGCCGCAGTTCTAGAGATCGTTGTTCTTAATCACACGGTTTTCCTCTTTAAATTGATCTTTTTAAAAGGTCATTTACTAAGTAATGTGTTCCCTTAACATAAGTAGAGGTTGTTTTCTTGAAAAACATATTTGCCTCTCAATCTAGTCTTGGTTATTATTTCAGCATCAGAAAGACAGATGAATGTTGATGGAGGCCGAGGAGTGCATCATGTTTGTAGAGCTGTCCAGTGCCTATCAGTATGCGTATTTGGGAACTGTGAAGTGACAAAAGTGGCAAAAAAAAAAAAAAAAAGATAGCATTTTAACAAAAAGAGGATGTTCTTGGCTAACTTAGGTTTGTTAGTTACCTGCTGTGCCAGGGAGAACGGTGATGGCTATCTCACAGGTTCCCGTACCTCAGGCATTTAAGTAGAAGTGAATAATCAGATGTGGTTAAGAGGGGAAAAGGTTACATTTCTTTTAATTCCCATTAAACGTACTTGCACTGCACCCATAATTAAACTGTTGAGAGTGGTTCCTCCTGACTTGGGCAGACGTCTAGGACTCCAGCGTTTACCTTGTAAGGCCTGTTTACTGCTTGTCTCCTACATGCACGCACACACCTGCATTGCCCACGGATCAGGGCACTGAGATATGATGCAGCCATGAGTTTCTGTGGTGGCTCCCACAGTTTCACAAATGTAGGCTGCTGCTGCTGCTGCAGAGGGTGACTGCTCAGGAGACCGGGTCTTCCTTCGTAGGATAATGTGCACTCTTAGAGCATCTTCCCAAGGTGAAGAGATGAGGGCTGACCTGCCACATAAATCTTGTTTACGTGCCCACTGTTGCAGTTTTTTTCAGAGTAATGCATTCAGTTCCTTTTCAACATACTGTATTAAGAAAATGTTAGTTTAACCGCACTTTTATGTTTAAAAAATACATATTTAAAGTTTCAAAATGACAAAGTCATAATAATTCCATATTGTCTCATAATTTTGACCTCAGTCGCCTTTGGAGTAACTCACCAAAGGGCCAGTTATGGTGGTGTGTGAGGAATCTGTCTTCTGCTGGGCCCATGTTGCCAGAAGGCTGTTTTGTAATTTCCTTTGGCAGTACTGTCATCGTCAGTGATTCTCAACTAATACACTTCCTCTTCCTTCAGCAGCAATACATGAGGGGGACTGTTTTCCTCTTTCTCAAAGCTGTGTCATCGACCCATGAAGTGAAGAAACTGGCCCTTTTGGACTTTGATCTGTGAGCCCTATGTAGCAGAGAGACTCTTTAAAAAAGAAGTGAAGTGTTGGTTTTGATATGTTTATCTCCTTAGAAAATGAAATGAAACTATGCAGGCTTATTTTTAGGAGCTTTTAGGAGAGTTCTATTTTAAGAGAATGACACCATACAAGAACATCTTGTAGTTAAACTTTTTAATACTCGTGATTCTTACTTAAAACCTGCAAGATATTTTTATTTGGTAAATTAATGGAGAGGCCTTGTCCCACTAAAAAGTCATTTACTTGCTCTGGAAAAGTTAAGCAGACTCCATCCATCCAAAGATCTTGATTAAAAAATGCAAAGATAAGACTTTTAGGCCTGTGCGTTCTGGTGAGGTGTCCCACTTACCCATTGCTTGTCCCTGAAGCTGGACAGAGTGTGGGATTTCTTTTGTTTTCATACACATTCATCTCACCTGTAGGGAACAGCCTTGGTCCTATGCTTGACTCCTCATTTTTCTCCACACCTTTTCCTGTAT